GTCAAGGACTCTTAGCTCTCTTAGGATCCTAAGCTGCCACTCATACCAAGCCAGCACATTGGAAAGCCAGAGAGGAACTGATCCTCCACAAATAACCCAGTCTCTGTTTGAACTAATTTATGCTCCTGGCCTCCACATCATCCTCCACCAAGAATTATACTGTCTTTGCGACACATAAAATGAATTTTCTTTTGTTTGCAGTAAAACACCTGAGTTCACCACTGTTTTCTTCAGATTAGGCAGAAGAAATCAAACACCTCAAGTTCATTCATTTCAAAGCAAGATCCCCAGGCTCTCAAATGGGATTTTTTTTTTTTTTTGGTACCACTCTTCTAAATCCTTTTCCATTTTTCCACATCCTTTTTTGAAATATGGACACATTCCAGTAACTTGTGCTGTAAACAGAGGTAACACAATCTGTTCACTCTTTGAGATCCCATTTTATACAGCATTTTACCATCTATCTGCCTCCCTGGAGTCTTGTCTTCCCAGGATACTGTATTCTGTTCTGGAAGTGTGATCCACATACTTTGTTCCTCAACATAGAACCTTATGTTTGAATTCAAGGTGTGACTTTACCAGGGGTCTTCGGAGGCAGTGGCTTCCTGTTAACCTTGCCAAATATATGCACCATGCCAGAAGAGACAGTCACACCTGCAGAGATCTGAAGCCTCCTAATCATGTTTTGGCAGTATAAGACATCCATGGGAATTTGGATGTTGAACAAATCCTGTGGCAGCCTAGCACTGGAAGCTCGCATACTCTGAATTTCCAGGAGACTTTCATCTCATCAGCAAAGGGTCTGAAGTATTTACAGAGACACAAAAGCATTAGCTGTTTTATCTTCTACTCTCTCACATGCTGTGCAGCTAAAGAGAGTCCTTTGGTCTTTGGTGGCTTTCAGAGAAAAACCTAGCAGAGAAACCTGCTGCTCAGAGTGTACTCCTCCTGGAGAATGGGATCTGCTGTCTGCAAGCAACTTCTTAGAACCAGGAAAAATTATAAATGGCACCAAAAAAAAGAAAAAAAATCAAGCTTAAACCCATGTTTACTCCCTGTTGCCTCAGTTGCACCCCAGTGACCAACTTTGTAATATTCAGTTTGCTTTCCATTTTGGGAACCCAGATCTCTCCCAGCCCTCATAGTGACACAGGAGACTCCACCCTTTCCCGGCAACAATAAAGTCCATTTGTACTTCCAACTGTTTGGTCCCAGCCTGCTTTGAGGGTGAATCAGGAAAGCCTGTTGGATGCACCAGTCACCTCCCAGCATGGTGAGAGCGGGGGTACTGCAGAGCCAGCCAGGTCTCTTTGCAGTGCTAAAGGCAGCAGCTCAGCAAGCAGTGAGTATCCACAATTGGAGGTGTCCAGGATTCACCTGGGCCAGGCCCTGAGCAGCCCAGTCTAGTCTGAGAATCCTCCTGCTGGGAGCAGAGGGGTGGAGACCCAGAGGTGCCTTCCCAGCTGAATTTTCCTGTGATGCCGTGACTAACAAACAAGAGAGTTCATTTGGTTCTGTGGGGCTTTTTCTTAGTGAGGTGGTAGAAGATATCTTACAGAAGTTTACAGGGTGCTACCTGCCATGAGGTGCCAAGTGGAAAGGAAATTGAAAGAGCAGCTCAGCTGCCAGCACCCTCTGAATTGCAGTCTGGCACACAATCCTGTTAACCCAGCAAAAATGTGCAGTGTTGCAGAGAGGGGCAATCCCATCCTCCCTTGCATCTCTCCTGCTGCCTCTCTTTTGTCAACACTGATGAGCAGCGGAGAATTGATCCAGCTGAAAACGAAACTATAAAGGAATAAATCCATTTTGATTTACAATGAGCCCTTTGAGTTTAAAAATGCACCATCTCCTTCCCTAGCAATTTCTTGTTCAGAGCCAAGTGGCTGGGGATCACCAAATCAGAGACTTTGTTCTCTTCAGGACTATTCTGGAGCACTGCTGTGCTCTTCCTTGCTGTGCCATCACCCACAGCAACCTTCCCTGTGGCTGTACTTGTCTGCAAATGATTTCTCATAGCATCACATGGTCCTTTAGTTACCCTACATTTTCCATATCTAGCTTTCCCACTAAGAAAGAAACAACATATTCACTATTTTTTAAGTGTTTGCCTGCAGCTTCCAGAGATGCAGTGCACCATGAGACATGGGCTCCTGTTCTCCTGCCACGATGCACCATGAAAACACAGCACATGGATCACATCTGCTTTTCACAGCTCCTGAGGACACATGCAACTAAGCCTAGAGCCAGACCCCTCCATGCCCTGAACAGCAGCATCTGAGGCATGAACAAGGTGCCTCTTCTGCGTTGAAGAGACCCATGGTACTGCCCAGAGTAGAACACAGAAAGGGTTTGAGCCCCAGGAGCAGAAGACACATCCTTTTGTGGTGGCTTTTCTCTGAGGGGATTCTGTATTGTCAGTTGAGATAAACAGCAGCAATGGGGATATGAGCCTGAAATATGTGGATCAAACTTTCTCTCTCAGCATCAGGAGAAATATTATTGTTCCCCTGGATCTGCTGGTGACTCTTAAGACCAGCAGACACAACCCACATCTGTTCTGGAGGTCCCACAGGCAAAAAAATCTCTAGGAAAAGCACTTGTACAGTTTCCCTGCAAAACTGTGAAGAGACTGAAAACCAAAGAAGCCACACCTAAGAAGTGGCTTTTTTGTAGTCTGTTGGGGGAATCTGGGCGCCCTGGTTTCACTGCATGTCCAGCATCAGCCTCACAGCCTGTCCTGACACCACCTTGCCACCATGTGCTGAGCTCCTGGGTACCTCTTTGCTCTTGAGAAAACCTACTGCAGCCCTAGGATGTTTGGGAGGCTATTGCATATTTTCCCATTGGATTAAAAGCATGAATGCTGCAATGAGAGATGAGTCAAAACGTAACCTAGCCTGCTGCAGGGATTTTTGTAGTTAATCCACCTCACCCTCTGTATTGCAAAACACAGGGGCTGTGGCATCAAAGAGAGATCACTTAACTAAATACTGGCCAAGGTACTGATAAGCCATCACCTTATGCACTTTTGGATGACTGAAGGGGATCCTGCAGCATCCCATCTTTCCTGCAGGAAGGATCTTTTGAAAGAGAATAGTTACACACTTCTCCACAGAGAATGCTGGCCAGATACAAGTTGCCAGCTGCCGAACATGCCCATGAATGCTGCAGACTCTCTTCAGTAATTAAATCACCAGGGCTGTTTTAGCAGAAATGCAGCCCACGGCTTCAGTCAGCACCTCCCAGTGCTGTTCCTGACTTTCTAATTCAGGTTTCTCTGGGATATTCAGCTGTCTGAAAGGATGCTTGCCTTATAGCACTGCAGAAAGAGGCTGCAGATTTGTCCAAAAACCCCATAAAGCTATGCTTTCCTAAAGGTGTTCCTGTGGGACTCTGGGAAACAGGTCACCACTAGACTTTCTTCAGCACCATCTGAGACCTGTGGTGAGTCAGGCACTGCCCATCCAGCAGCCCCTCTAAAAAGGGCCTTCTCAGAAAAGCCTCACAGTCAGGCATACAGTCACTCTTCCTACTCCAAGAAATTTTGCAGGGGCACATTTTGGTTTCACCCGGATCTGCTGAGTGATGTGAACTTTCTCCTTTCCAATCCTCTTCTCCTCACTCCTTTTTGGGACTGTCACCTCAGATGAATGGGTCCCACTGACATGTGGTATAGCCTACTCCTAGAGGTATAATTTTCTGCTTCCAGGCTTCACAGAGGGACAGAAGGAAGACTGGAGCAGCCACTTCCTCCCTCAAAAAAGGAAGTTTGTACCCACCCCCAATTTCATACACAGAATGCATCTTGGGTTGGTGCCTTGGCAGAAACCACCACGGCCCACTGTTTGGATAGAGTGGCTTGCATCCTTCTACCCCAGGGCTGCTGTTTCCATGTGTTTCCCCACTCTGCATTTCACACAGAGCCTGCAAAGGCGTGGGCACTGCCTCTTTCTGCTTCAGTGTTCTGCTGCCTGACCCTGCTGCAGCACCGTGGTGGTGGCTTGGGAGCTACTGCATCTGTCCTGAGTGCCCAGAGAGGGGCAGCTCCACTCATCCCCTCTGCAGCTGACCTGAGATGTCGTTTTTGCTCCCTAAGCTTCCCAGGCAGTGCCAGAAGTCTTGCAGTTAATCCCATTCTGATCTCTGGAAACACTGCTGCCTGTGCAGTTGCCTGTTGAGTACCAACCTGCCCAGCAGCTCTTGCTCACACCACATCCCTGCCAGACTTTCCCTTCTGTTTCCCCAGGTGTGGCTGCTTTTTGTTTACAGTCCCTTACCGTGGAGTTATTAGTTATCTCTTATTAGCAAGTAACTTGTTTTTGCTTGCTGTGTTTGCTTTTGTGCTGGGCAAACAGCAATCAGGAGGTTTTACAGGAGCTCCTTTCTGTCGAGCACTTTATCTCAGGAACACCCAGACCAGCTGATAGCCCAGGCTACGAGCCACGCCGTCGTTTCTTAGATCAGCTATAGTCTGAAAATAAATTCTGGAGTACCACAGAAAGTCAGCATAAAAGCAGAAGATAATGACCAGCCTCAGACTTGATGCTGCAAGGACCAAAACGTGAAAGTGGAATGTCTCAGAGGAAAATGAGGTATCACAGCAATCTGGAAACTCACCTACAAACTCCTTCAGCAACACTAACTCGATGATACTGCAGGACAGTGTTTTTGCTATTCCTATTTTTCTTGGTCAGGGTACTTTGCATCTCTAAGACGTACCAAGACAGAGAAGAAAAGCGATGTACTAGGCTGTGCACAAGGTGTCTGCTGTGGGTGGAACCTGGCTGGAGCTGCTAATGCCTGGCACAGACCGAGGAGCATTTCCTGAGCTGGGCTCCTGTCTCCCTGGCCCTGGCCACTCCCGTCGGAGCCTGCCTGTCATTCCCCACGGCTCTGCCCAAGGGACTCGCACAGACTGTGAGAAGACGTTCCCATGCTGATCTTTGTCCGGTCACTGCTATCTCTGCGCCGGGGTCCTGTTCTGGGAGATGACGACAATGCCATTCGAGGAGTCAGCATTTAAAGTGGGTCGTTAGGCGAACGTCACCGTGTCTTTGCTAAAGATAGCCTGCTGCTGAGTAAAACGGTGCCTCCAAAACCTTCCTTTCACAACGTGCTCGCTCAGCACAATCAGCCCTGGGCCCTGAATGCCCCCCAGTGCCAGGCAATGCCTGTCATTCTCCAGGGCTCTCCATCAGTGCCTTGGGAACGCCTCTCGGGGAAGCGGCGGCAGGATGGAAACACATCCTCTCCTTTGCTGGTCCCTACAAGAGACGAGCATTTCCCGGAGTATGGATTGCACTAAGGATGGTTTGGGGGGTGAGAGGGGGACAGTGCCAGCGTGCCAAGGCTACGGCTGCAGGGAGGGCTGAAACGAAGGGGGAGAGCAGTGAGCTTGGTGTGTCCCCCGGAAAAAGCCAGGAGAAGGGGGGCAGAGGGTGCTGGATTGTGGAGCTGTACATGCCTCTCCACCACAGTTCCAACTCCCTCCTCTCCCTCTCTCTCTCTCTCTCTCTCATATCTGCACCCACACACTCACACCATTCTTGCGCTGCTGATTCAAGGGAAAGAGAGGTTGATGTTTTGTGCTTGAACTGGTCACCACAAACTGTTTTTCTTGAACAGGAGGAAAAAACACCTCCTGACAACTGTCACAGCTTCTCCCCCATCTTCACTTGTGTCTTCTTCTCCCATGCAATCCTCTGGGCTGTGTCACACAAGAGGGCATGAAGGGCCACTGCAGAGCAGTCCCTCAGGGGCATGGAGGTACACAGGGTTACACCTGAACACCAGTCCCATTGCTCAGGAGGCTGAGGAGCCACGTGGGATGAAAGACCTGAGAGCTGTCCCTACAACTGAGCTCTGCTGAGGGGAAGCATAGCACTGCCTCTCTTTTATCCTCCACCTTCACCACACAGCTGAGAAAAACTAGAAAACAAGCAAGAATTCCTTCTACCCTTCTACAGTCAAGAAGTGGCCACTATGAGTCACCTCCCTTCCCTCAGCCTCAGAAAAAGCCCAAGCCCTTGGTGGATGAGCCACCGAGGGGCTTGGGTGTCTGACACTCATCATGAAGGGCTGATAATCTGAAAGACTCAGAGCCAGTGGGTAGCTGGAAACTGTGAACAACAGCAGTGGGGGTTCTCTGAAACAAAAAGGGGGCCCAGGATGAGGCACGTGGATGGAAATGTATTGCCCTGTGCAAAGGTCAGCAGCTGCTTGGGGGCTAGGATGAGCCCCCTCAGCACATGAGCTCAAGTGGGTTTCCCCCAGAGCTGCTGGAGCAGGAGGCTTCCTCCCTCACACTCCTCAGAGTGCCCCAGCACACAGCCCCTCTTTTCAGTGCTCATTTTTTCTCTCTGGATGCTCTCCTCTGTCTCCTTGGACCACCTCAGGTGTGTCCCATACTAGCCTTGGACTCTAGATTGATGAGTCACATGTGTCCTGGCTGGAGCTTAGCATGGAGCATCAGCCTTTCCTCGTGCTGCCTGGGAACTGACCAATGGGAAAAAGCCAAGAAATCAGCACATTTGAAATATTAAAGAAGTGTGTGTGTGTGTGTGGGGGGGGGGAAATTACAATAATAAGAAAACCAACAAAAGAAAGAACAGCAGAAAAAAAGACCAACATGTTCTCAAAAACCCTGAAAGAATTAGAGAGAATCTGTAAGAGACGGGAAGATCAAACCAAAAAAGGTAAGAGATGAAAGAAAAACATGAAGGGTACTTGCTGGGAAGTGCCTTCTACACTTTTTCCACTGGCTAGATAGAAGCGAAACTTGTAAGAAAAACAACAGCGACCCAAAGAATTTCCACCAAAAGATGCTTAGAGCAGTGTCTCTGGTCCCTCCCTCCCCTGCCCTCACGTGCCCCGGGCTCATACTGGTTTCTTGGTCGTGACGCATCCTCTTAGTGATATGAGGAAACTCGCTGCCCACCTGCAATATAAAGGCATTTAGGGAAATGCTTTGATCTGAGAGAGGAAGAGAGAGCATGACAGCAAGCACATCCCACTGACCCCTCTGTGCTCACCCACCCATTCTAACAACTTTCTTTGCCCATGCCTCATTTTTGCTGCTCTCTTCAAGCTTTGGGACCTCCTTAAGCACAAAGCTGAGCGAGAAGCAGCCCCTCTCCTGGATGACACCATGAGGTCGGTGTCCCTGGTGCTGTTCCTCATCTTCACTCTGCTGCCTTTCACTGGTAAGAGGGGCTGAACATATTGGAGGGGGGCAGAATAGCTCAGTAATCTGAGTCTGGGTGTTACTTGATGCCTGGAAAGGCTGGAAGGGAGAATTTCTGCCCTTCCAACTCCACCGAAGGTGGCCAGATATCATGCTGTATTCTAACTCACCCTGGAAAAGATGGCATCCCCATCCCAGAGTGGGATAATACTGAATCCCTCTCTTTGCTCAACTCTCCATCTTGTTACAGCTGGACACATCCTACCAGGACTGTCAGAGGGGAGAAGCAGGGAGCAGAAAGTGTGGGTCAGAGAGGGGAGTTCAGCCGTGCTGCCCTGCCACTTGAGCCCCAGAAAGACAAGGGAGAGCTCAAAGAAACTGCCTGACAAGATATCTGTGCTGTGGAAGAGGCATGGGGGAAGGTATGCTCGGGCCAAAAGAGATACGAGTCCTTCCTAGGGGAATGGGGATGTTGGAGGCCCTTTGAGCCCCTTTTCTCCTTTCCCCATGTTCCCTCCTTCCCCATATTCCCTCCTTCCTGTCCCCTCCCTTATCTCATGTTTGCCTCTGGCATGAGCCACTCATATTTCCTGTTTCCAGTGTGCACCAGGAGCCACACGTGGTGCTGGAAGTTGGGGACTCAGGGCTCCAGAAGACAGCACAGCTGATGAAGCCCCGGGTGTCACTGCAGGACTCCACCCTACGCAAGGGCGATTTCTCCCTGCGGATCGTCCCCGTCCGCAGCAAGGACGCTGGGCTCTACGAGGCACAGGTGAAATACAAGACAGAGGTGCACAGCTGCCACGTGGAGCTGGGGGTGATCACAGGTAGGAGAGGATGGAAAACCTGGGAATGTTGATTTTAGGACCGGGGAGGTTGTAAAGGTGGAGTAGGGTGGGGATGCCGTGTTTGGAAGGGCAGGTGAGAGCACAGGCAGCACCTTCTGGAAAGTGCAGTTTCCTGCTGTCTGCCCTCAGCTCTGGAGGGAGAGCTGCCTGAGGGATAAAGTTAGGACAGTGCAGACACAAAGGGCTGCTTTGGTTGCTCCCCTATGACCTTAGCTCACCTCTCAACCCAAACCCTTCTTTTTGCAGTGACCCTCAGTCCACCCAGTCCTGTAATAGAAAGTGAGCTGCTCCTGATGAGCTGCAACTCCAGCCACCGGGCCAGCCTTGTGGAAACATGCTGGTTCCACAAGGAGCACCCGGGCCCCACCTCCAGGACCTTCTGCTCCTTGTCCGGGACTCTCTCCATCCTCCATCCAGCCATGAGTGATGCGGGCTCCTGGCGCTGCCAGCTTCGGTACTCTGATAAGGAGATCATTTCTGCCACATTCAACCTGCAAATTCTAGGTGAGCTCAGCCTCTGTGTTGATAGCCCAGCATCCCAAACCTGATCCTTTTGATGTGACTGACTAACCCTGATGGCTCCAGCTCCCTCTTGTCCTCACTTCCCAGGTCAGTCCTCTCCCTGAGGAGCTCTTTCCAGGCACCACTCCACATTGTCTTCTTTCCCTGGCTCAGGTTTTGATGGCCCAACCAACCCTGTGGTCTATGCAGCAGCTGGCTCTGCAGCCGATCTACCGTGCAGTCTGAGCTACCTGCCCAGAGCCTTTGGGATGAGTGTGGTGGCAGCCCAGTGGAGCCACCTCGCAGGAGGACATTTGGAAGACAGGGGCATTTCCCAGAACCTGAGCAGCAGAAGCTTCCCCCTGCATCTCCCCACGGTGGGGCCGGGTGAGGCAGGGCAGTACCGCTGTGCTGTCTCTGTGGGTCACAGGACAATCAGCAGGAACGTGACCTTGGCCGTGCTTACAGGTGAGAGGAGAGACTGGGGTCCCTCACTGCAGATAAACATCCCCACACAGCTGTGCAATGAGCATGGGTAGCTCCTGGTCATGGGTTCCCACTCTGGGGCAGGAAGCAAGATCTCTGTTCAGGGCATTGCACTGCACTGGACTCTGTTGGAATCAGGGGCTTTCCTGGGTGACTTAATTATTCCTCTTAAAAATGAGAAAGACAAAGAAAATAGTTTAGAGGGTGTAATAAAGAAAAGATGCAACAGAAGAAGAATGGACGAGGAAGAGATGTGAACATGCCTGTAGGCTTTCCTGAGGTTACTTTTTTCCATTTGCCACAGTGACTCCGAGCATCCAAGGCCCAGTGTCAGAGGGGAATCGTTTCCTGCTCATCTGCAGCCTCACGCACTCCCAGGGACACGAGCATTTCCAGTGGACACACCTTGGCTCAGCCCCCACTAAGAGCAAGCTGGCTGTGGCTACTCCCCAGAGCTTGGAGGGCCACGGTTCCCGGATGGGACCTGCCTTGGAAATACCCCAAGTGTCACAAAAGGACACGGGCACCTGGGAATGCAGTGTGCATGGCCCAGAAGGCAGACTGGGGGCAGTGGAGTATGACCTGCAGATCACAGGTACTGTCCTCCATGGGTCTGCAAACAACCTTTTATTTTCCTCACCCAGCTTAGCTCTTTGGTGCCCTTTCCTCGCTCAACCTCATCCTGTCCTTCTCCCCTTGGACCACTTGAATCCCATTTTCTTGTCATCCCCTCTTAGCTTTCACAACTTCCTCATGCTGCTTCTTCCAGTTCCCTGCCTACCTCTTTCCTATTTTGCCTGTTGCTGTGCAGTCCCACCCTTTCCCCCGTGCAAAATCAACCATCCCTTCCTTCCTAACTGTGCTTCCTCCTCACAGGTGCCCAGGTGTCCATCATTCCCTCTGTCTTAAGTGGGCAGATTACTTTTGGGCTCACAGTCACCCTCTTCTTCCTGCTTGCTGTTTGTGTTGTGGCTCTGGCCCTACAAAAAAGGGTAAGTGTCCATCACCTCATTTCTGTTATTTCTCCTGTACATCCACCCTTATTTGACCTTCCCCAGATTACTCCAGAGACAGCAGTGAAAGATCCTGGGACACAGTGGCCAGAGGAGGTATGGGGCTGGAGCAACCTGCTGACGGTGTCAGGGACACACAGGGAAAGCTGTGGCATTGGCACATTGTACCCTGGGCATGGGCAGGTCTGGCTAACCACAGCATTCCTCAGGGGCAGGTCAGACACCTCAGAGAAGGAAGAAAACCTCCTAAGGTACAATCACAGCTTTGAAAAGCTTCATGTTGATTCCTCCAGAGATCAAGCCATGCTGTAGTAGAGGAGGGCTAATGGCCAGGCTTTTGTAGATGTCCTCTCTCTCATTCCTTAGCTGGATGGTTTAATGTGACCATCTCCTGTTTTGTATCAATGCCTGCTGGTGCCCTGACACCAATATTGATGCAGGGCTGTTGTTTCTGGCTCAGCCTTCACACCTCAGCTCTCAGCTTCTGGCAACTTAATGCCCTTTATTTGCTCAGCTTGTTCCAGTATTTTGTCCTCTGAAAACTCTGCCTTGTACCTCGCCTTTATGATCCCTCAAGACCAGACCAGGACTAATCCTTCCCCAGCACGTCACTGGAAAAAAAATGTGCAAAAAAGTCAGACTCTTTCTCTGAAGTTTTCATATTATTGCTCTGCAAATTAATAACATGGCAAAATCATCCTTCAAGGTTTCCTTTTGCAGACTAGGGCCACCTTTCGGGAGTAGCTGTGATGCAGCTGCCTCCTACTTAACCTCATGGAAAGGGCCCATGATGACAATTCTAGAGGGGAAGGGGCTGGGCGATCAGAGCGAGGTAAGTTTGGAAGAGCTTACCCTGGTGAAAGAGCTGGGAGCCTTGAAACTGCCTCGAGCTGAAGATGAGGGATGTGACAAAATTGATGAAAAGTCTTAGCAAGTCCCAGTGGCTGGAGACTAAAGGCAGGCAACATCACAAAAGAAGCAAGGTGGAAATTTTTAAAAAACCACTGTGGGTAGTGCAAGAGCAGCTCGTGACAGGTTCTTCGTCATCCGTCCTTAATCAGCACTGATGGTAAAGGATAATATGAGGCAGAAATCTACACTTTCTGTGAGACTCTCTAAAGTGTGCAAGTCCAGGGCAAGGTGATCAGAACCAACCTTTCTGTCCCAAAACCTTGGACTGGAACCCCTAGACAGTGTACCTGTAAAGCCTCAGCTAGCAGGAAATGGGTGTCCAGCTGTTTGCTCAGCACAGCTCTCATCCCACCAGGATACTCAGCACCTCAGGATATTCACCACCTCAGGATATTCACCACCCCAAAGGATTTGCATATAGCCCCATGGCCCTGCTGTGCTGAGCAAGCCAGGCTCCCATGTGGCAGCATGGCTCCTCTATCCATGGGTGCTCCTCGCCCAGCTCTGGATGGCCCTGCTTGAGCAGGACTGGATCATCTCCAAAAGTCCTTCCAGCCCCAACCACCCTGTGATTCTGTGATTCACACCCTTCTCTGCACAGGCTCCCCGCTGGGCTCGTCCTCCTCCGAGTGCAGATGAGGTGGTGCCTCGAGCAGAGATATCAGCTCTTCCTTCTCTGGCTCTCTCTCTCTCTCTGCTGGCATCCTCTGAGACTGCATTTGCTGTCCCTGTGCTGGTTGCAAACTGGATGCTGCCTGTGGTGTATCCTGCACACCCGATGGGCTGTTGGGGAATCCTATTCCTATCCCCTGATCCTATCAATGTCTGATTGGTACTGTTGCATTTCATTGATCCTGTCACTCAGGGTAGTGCTGACTTCTCCCAAAATATCTGTGTCTTGCGTGATATTCTCATCCTCTTTCTTCCAAATGAGGCTCCTCAACTTTATCCACTGCCTAACTCATTAGCAATTTCACACCCTCTGTGCTAATAATGACTGGTCTTTGAAGACTTGTGCTTTTCATTTCCCTTCAGCCTGGCAGAAATCTGTCAGCAAACCCCAGTCCCTTCCTCTTAGCTGAGATCACACCTACCATGTCATTCTCTAACTAATCTCATCCTTCTTGCTGTACTGCCTGTGTGTAACCCTATCCTGCTATCAGGAGCCCTGAGATCTACCCCTTTCACTGTCTAGAAAGTCACTTGTGATAGTAGTTCTGTCTTTAATTTGTTCTTATCTCATTTTGCACAAGCCTTCATGCCTTTGTTACTTCTCCAATCTGACATACCCTCAAACCTGACAGTGGCCTGACCATTGTCCAGATCAGTCTTTGCTCTCCCTTAGCCATGTCCTGCCTTTGTTATTCCTTATGTCCATGACACCAAGGAGGATTGTGCTCAGCCAGCCTCCCCTAGAAGAAATTGCATGTCTCAGAGAGTATCTTTTTTCCCTGGCTCTGGGAAAGAATGGAAGCCTTCTGGTTGCAAGCAGTGGGACTGTCTTCCATGGCAGGGAGAAGCCCTGTGCCATTCAGTCTCCCTCCCGTGTCTGACGTAGCCTCTCGCTTCCCTTTCAGGCACGGACTCCTGCCTTCCCAGCACTGGAAGGGATGTTTGCAGTCAATGTGCCATGGAAGCCCATGGAGGAAAAGCAGAAAGGGAAGACCCAGCAAACGGAGTGCTGATGGAAGCAGGGGCACCGGGGCCGGTCTGCACAGGAGGATGAAACTCTGTGTGCCACGCAGAGAGAGATGAACACCGTGCAGGAGGGGCTAGGGATGGCATGAGCAATGCAGGGGACCTTGGGAGCTCTGTCCCTGCAGAGGGGCTGGAAGCTGCAGCCAGGGCGAGGCAGACTCACCACTGCAGTCAGGTGGCCAGCAGCAGAGATGCCTTGGAGCTGTTGGGAGTTTTTGAGCCAGTAGCTACTGCCTGCTTTGGTGCCACATCTCTGTCCCACTCTTTGCCCCTCCTTCATGGCCTCTCTCTCAGGCTTTCTCTGGTGGAACACTTGGATGCAGGACATGGCTGGAATCCATCTCCCCTGCAGTTCTGACAATGGTTTTCCCCCCATGCTTACTCTCTTCTCCTTTCCCTCTCCCTGCACTGCCCTGCTACCTGCCCTGTTGCACATTTTGAGCATTTTAACTTATTAGAAACTAATTTTAGAACTTAAAATAAATTGATGTGATGAAAAACCCCTCTGACCCCTGTATGTGCTTGTGGGGGAGCATGCCTGTTTGACAGAGCCGGCTGTACCTCTGCCTGTGTGAAGCCATTTCTAAGGCTTTTGCTGCCTTCTCTTTCTCTTTCAGTTCTGTTTTACTGAAGTTGCCTGTTCGTTTCTGACATTTTCACAGTGGGGAAGGGGAAATTAAATGCCACTAGAGAAGGAAGAATCACAGGTTCAGTCTCTCCTTTCTGCTGCATTTCAGAGCCTCCTTTTCTTTTTTTCTCCTATCTGACTGTCCCTTTTCATTCATTCATTTATTCCTTTAGTCCTCACATGTTCCTGAAAGATCTACAAGTGGCATTATGGCTCTTTGTCACACTCTTCCTGCTAAGGATGTACTTAGAAATGTAAGCATGAGTCTGCCAAGCCCTACCTCTCAAGACCTTCAATGTGTTTAGGTTTCATGCAGTCAGAGAATGCTCTTCACATCCCCTCTGAACAGCCATGGAGGACTGTGGCACTGCTCTTGTACAGCCACTGAATGCAACCCCAGAAGAAACACTTAAGTAATGAGAGCCACATGGGTGATTTCTCCCCATGCTGAGGCTGCTCTGTGATCAGGATGGAAGATTCTCTTGACTTGAGAGAAGGTCACCACAGCCAGAACAGCTTTTTGTTATTTCAGCAGGTACATGAACAGACCTTCTTACTGTGTGGCTCCCACCTTCCCTCCCCAAAAGGTTCAGGCACTCAGGTAGTAAATGCACTCAGGTATCCTTAGACTGCAGGTAGCGCAGCCACACCCAAAAGTCACAACTAGCCCACTCCAGGGAGCATGTCTGGACTGCACAGCTCTTTAGCTACCCAGCTATCCGTGTATTTTACTGCAAATGCCACCCCTTTCTCCACTGAATCCTAGAGAAGTGCAGCAGAGCTGCGAGGTAGACTTGTCTGCTTCAACCATCCCATGCAATTTCAGGCAGACCCTGGAGCAGAGCCAACATAAGGCAAGACAGTCCAGCGTGGTACCAGCATCTTCCTAAGCATATGATAATGCTGCTAATTTTTTTCAGGTGGGAGTGATGTGTCTAGCTCAATCACCTCTGTCTGCCAGATGCTTTGGAGGTAGAGAAAAGGCTGGCTAGCCCTCATGGGCTGAGGGGCAATCCAATATCTATCAGGATCACATAATATTCTCTCAGTGCCTGACATTGGTTTGCTCTCTCTTCTCACACACAATGGGATGCTCTCTCCTCCTGTGGGTAACACGTTCAGCACTACCTGTTACCAGCCTGGATGTTCTCACTGCTCAGATGTGTGCCTGGTCTGTCTTTAAACCTCCCTGTTTCCTTGTACTCTCTGACTTCCTCTGTCAATCAGTCCTTGGATCTCCTTATTCACTGTGTGAAAATGGTTCCTCTCTCAGTTTTGAATTAAAAGCTTTCCACTTTCACTGTTTTCTTTACTACCATCACAAAGGCTGGGAAAAGAGGGACTCCCAAATCTATCATACCTTGGATGGCCATTATTTTACCACATTTTATCACATTCCCTTTTTTGTTATTTCCCCATCCCCTCCTGACTCACTGTCTTTCAGGTGCAAATCCCAGATTTTGGGACATTCTCTCTGACAGTTTGCACAGGTCCAGCTCTGCTTGGGCCCTGTGCTCTGGAAGAGGAGGCAGCAGCCCAGCAGAGGAGCAGTGCTGGTTTACACGGAGACACAGAGCCTTTCTCTGCATCCCATCCAGCCCTTTGGTGTTTTGTCTGCTCCTCTGAAAGAAGTTCAACAACACTGAGCTTGTACCCAGCTGTTCACTGAGCCTATCGTGATAGGCAGAATCCTGGCATGGTGCAGTTACAGTGAGCAAAAGTGTTTATGCAGTTTAGATTTTCCTTCCTATAAACTATTCCTATATATAGGAAAATATTTCCAAATCAGGATGGCACAAGGCAAGTCAGTAGAGTTGAGGTGGAAGGACCAAGAATCTGTGCAATAAAGTAAACAAATCTGGAAACCTGTTTCAAGTGGAGTCAATAAATAGAAACAGGTGATAAAGCAAATGACAGATGAAGGAAAAAGACCTGATGCTTTTCTATAAGGACACAGCTACACGTGCAAAACTCAGATAAATATTTTCAGCATATCAGAATGTGGTAATTTGACCCTGGCTGGGTGCATCACTCCTTTCTCTAACTGAATGGGAGACAGAAAGTATAACAAGAGGCTTGTTGGTCCAGATAAGGATAGGGAGAGATTTCTCACTGATTATCATCACATCAAAACAGACTCTCCACAGGGAAATTATCTTAATTTATTACCAATCAAATCAAATCAAGGCAGGATATTGAGAAAAGAAACTCATATCTTAAAAGACCTCAATCCCACCATTCCATTCTTCCAAGGCTTAACGTCATTCCCAATTTTCTCTACCTTCTTCCGCACAGCAGCACAGGGGGACAGAGAATGAGGGTTGCAGTCAGTTCATCAGGTGTTATCTCTGCCACTCCTTCCCCCTCAGAGGAAGGACTCCTCACTCTCCCCTGCTCCAGGAGAGAGACCTCCATGAACGTCTCAAATTTGAGTCTATCCCATAAGCTGCATTTTTCACAAACTGCTCCAGCATGGGTCCCCTCTGGGGTCACCAGTCCCACCTGCAAACCTGCTCCAGCGCGGGCTCCTTTCCCTACAGGACCACAAGTCCTACCAGGACTCTGCTCCAGTGTGGGCTTCCCATGGGGTCACAGCCTCCATGAGGCATCCACGTGTTCTGGGGTCCTCCATGGGCTGCAGGTGGATCTCTGCTCCCCCATGGACTTCTATGGGCTGCAGGAGGGTATCCTGCCTCACCATGGAGCTGCAGGGGAACCTGTGCTCTGGCACCTGGAGCACCTTCTGCCCTTCCTTCTGCACTGACCTTGGTGTCTGCAGGGCTGCTCTTACCACGTATCCTCACTCCTCTCTCTGGCTGCAGTTCATGTTTTTTCATCCCACTTGAGCATGTAGTCAGAGGTTCTACCACCATCACTGATGGCTCAGCCTTGGCCATCAGTGTCTTGGAGCCAGCTGGCATTGGCTGTATCAGACATGGGGGAAGCTTCTGGCAGCTTCTCACAGAAGCCAACTCTGCTGCTCCCCAGCTATCTTGACCTTGCCATGAAAACTCACTGCACAGTGGATGAAAACTTTAAAAAAACACAGGAAATCCAGTGGATTCCCTTTTAGCAGAGAGGAGGGCTTAAGGGATGCAAAGAAAGTTTATGCATGCAAATTCCTTTGCATAGGACTCCTCTGAAAGGAAGACAACATTTAATCCCAAACTGATCTTTTTTTTTTGTAAGAAAGATCAGCATCATTAGAAAAAAATCATAACTAGGTCCAGATGTTCTGCAACCCAGACTTCTGAGGGATTTACAGTGAGAGGCTAAGCGCTAGCAAATAGCATAATCTGACAAAAGAGCAACAAGAAAAATAGATTTAATGTGGTCTTTGTGCATTCTGCACAGCCTTTTATAAACAATGAAACATTAAAACCAGATCTCAAATTATGTAGGCTACTAAGGCACACTGAGTTTTATATGTGCTTGTCAAATTTATGGGAACGATATCAGCACCAATCTTGCAAAAAAATTCCCACAACTTAGTACTTTTCTTCTGTTGTTTCAACACTTTGGTGAATAAACCCAAAATATGTAGGGTTTTGCTTTTGCCTTCTAAAGGAAAAACCATCAAACCAAGCTCCTTGTGGGAATGTTGTTGTTGTGGGTAGTGCATCTTGTGCCTCCCACTAAGTTCCAAAGCATCTGGGACAGTCTTTTCATAGTTGTGGATTCCATCATGCTTAGGAGTTTCTCCCCTGGGTTTCCATCCCGCTGGCCTGCCAGTTCAATCCCACTCCCTCCAAAAGCTGCTCTGAAAAGGGTGTCCCTCCTACCTGAACGGGTGGGTCTCAGGGGGTCTCGTGGCAGGAGGACACAGGACACTGTGCCCAGAAACACAGAAAGTCACACACAGGGGCAGATTTTGCAAGGATTTAGTAATTCTCATTCTCACTGAGGTTCCTCTTCTTTTACAAGCACTGTGTGTCTTGTCACCAGGTCAGCATTCCCCCTTTTGGTATGTGAAATGGACCAAGGAGGACACACCAGCAAAATCCCTAGCAAGCTTTGGGGGCTGTCAGGAGCTCAGTTAGGACCCTCTGCTCAGGCACTCCCCAGCCCTTCAAAACCCTAAATCAGCTGTTAGGAAGAAATTCTTCACTGTAAGGGTGGTGAGGCACTGGCACAGGTTGCCAGGGAAGCTGTGGGTGCCCCATCCCCGGCAGTGTTCAAGCGCAGGTTGGATCCCGGTCTATCGGAAGGTGTTGCTGCCCATGGCAGGATGTCGGGCTGGATCTTTCAGGCTGCTTCCAGCACCTCTGTGTGATTCCAGGAGCTCGCAGGGCTCTGCGGGGCCGCTCCGCGGTCCCTGCCGGCTCCTTGCGCCGAGCCAATGCCGCCATCTAGCGCACC